AGTTGAGATCATGCCACTGCACTCTAGCCTGGGCAACAGAGCGAGACTCCAACTCAAAAAAAAAAAAAAAGTAATGTTTTACTCTTATTTTCCTATATTATATACAATAAGAAAAACAACTAAAAGGAAGAGACTGTTTGTTCTGCTACCTAAGAATCACGAATATCCTAAATAATGGTACTCATAAACTCCTCTAAAATCAAGAATATGGTTTATAATGCTTGTGGAACAAAAAGAACAATAAAAAATAGTATAACAATAGAGTATCTGGAGACATAAATGCTCACAATTTCACATTTTTTTTAATCTGTAAAAATCACCTGCAGTTTGACAATACACTGACTAAAGAGTTTCCTTACATTTTCATCTATAATTTTTTATATTTTAAAACTCTTTACATACGGTTGTTTTGTATTTTTAACTCCATTGCTAACTACTTGAAGACCAACTCAGATAAAATTTTTAAGAAATATATATAAGAGAAATGCAAATCAAAACCACACTGAAATACTACTTCACACCAGTTAGAATGGTGATCATTAAAAAATGTGGAGATAACAGATGCTGGAGAGGATGTGGAGAAATAGGAACACTTTTACATTGTTGGTGGGAGTGTAAGCTAGTTCAACCATTGTGGAAGACAGTGTGGCAGCTTCCTCAAGAACCTAGTCAAAGAAATTCCATTTGACTCAGCAATCCCATTTCTGGGTGTATACCCAAAGGATTATAAATCATTCTCTTATAAAGACACATGCACATGTATGTTCATAGCAGCACTGTTTACAATAGCAAAGACCTGGAACCAACCCAAATGCCCATCGACGACAGACTGGACAAGGAAAATGTGGCACATATACACCATGGAATACGATGCAGCCATAAAAAACGATGAGGATGTGTCTTTTGTAGGGACATGGATGAATCTGGAAACCATAATTCTCAGCAAACTGACACAAGAACAGAAAATCAAACATCACATGTTCTCACTCATAGGTGGGTGATGAACAATGAGAACACATGGACACAGGGAGGGGAGCATCACACACCGGGTTCTGTTGGAGGGGGGCAAGGGAGGGACAGCGGGTTGGGGAAGGTCAGGGAGGGATAACATTGGGAGAAATGCCAGATGCAGGTGATGGGGGGATGGAGGTAGCAAACCATATTGCCATGTGTGTACCTATGCAACAATCCTACATGATCTGCACATGTACTCCAGAACCTAAAGTACAATTTAAAAAACAAAAAGAAAGAAAGAAATATATTTAACGTAGATTTTACTCCACAGATAATAGTCAAGACTTGAGAAAAAAAAGAAGGAAACTTTAAGAATGATTAGGATACAAATCCCCCAATGAAAGAGATCAATTTTGTGCATCAGACCATCCCCAAAAAGCTCATGGAATCTGCTGCTTGTTGACTCAGGCTTCACCTAGGCAGATGCTGCACATGTCTCAGATGCTGGGACCTAATTCCCAGCCTCTGGCTTGGGCACCTGGGGCTTCTCTATCTCAAGTTTCCAAAACACATTTGCATCTCTCCAAACATCACTTACGTGTCACCAAATAAACTCACCTTTGCTGTCCAAAAATGAACAATACATTTTTTAATTCCTCAGAAAAAAACTTTTCAAGTAATATGGTTTGGCTTTGTCCCCACCCAAATCCCATCTTGAATTGTAGCTCCCATAATACCCAGGTGTTGTGGGAGGGACCCAGTGGGAGGTAACTGAATCAGGGGCAGGTCTTTCCCATGCTGTTTTCCTGACAGTGAAAAAGTCTCATGAGATCTGACAGTTTTATAAAGAGGAGTTCCCCTGCACATGTTCTCTCTTATCTGTGGCCAGGTAAGATGTGTCTTTCGCTTTCTACCATGACTGTGAGGCCTCCCCAACTACGTGGAAGTATGAGTCCATTACACCACTTTTTCTTTATAAATTCCCCAGTCTCTGGCATGTCTTTATCTGCAGCATGAGAATGAGCTAATACAGTAAGTTTTTGTTAAATTCTCATTCAGGATTTTGAGAAGTCACTTTATTTACAGTAACACAGTTTTGCCTTAACAGTCTGTGCACTCTCAATTGTTCAAACTTCACTCTGAGGTGAATAAATATTTCCTATTATCCAAACCCAACTAATATTTATTCCAGTCTCCCAAATATATTTTCCATTTTTGGTTTTCTTACCTACCCCCATGTCTTCAGTCTGTTCCCACCTCCATCTAACTGTAAAACACATATGCTTATCAATGTTAATAGTTCAATTTGTTTCCTTCTATATTTTTTAGATGCTCATAAATATGTATAAACCAAAACATATCTAATGTTACAATTTTTAAAAAATAGGATAATATCATACTATATAACTTCCTTTCTAAAATTCTCATGGATTTTTCCCCAAAGGTTAGACATATAGCCCCAACTCATTTTTACTAATGACTATATAATATTTATAGAAAGAATATAATGTTTTCAACTCTTCACCAAGCCATATTTTCGGCTATTTCAAATAATTTTATAATAAATATACATATACATAAATTTTATCTATATAGTCACTCATTTTTACAGAATATATATATATATAAATGATTAAATAAATGTTTATTGAACATTTTAAATGTGGATGCATAGAAACAAGTCATTTCACAGAAGAAAAACTACAGCAATTTATATTCCTATTCAGAATGAAAAAGAATGTGGATTTCCCCAAAGCTTAACTCTTATTCAGCATACAATATAAACTACTTTTCAACAGTTGTCTACTTAGTAGATTAAAAATAAGTCTTATTTTCAGTTAAAATTGTATGTCCCCGATTGGTACATTAGAGAGGACATTTCTGAACATTCATTACTTGCTTTCATCTTTCTCCTGTTTATTTTCTTGGCCTAGTTTTCTATTCTTTAATTTCTCTTTTTCTCACCAACATTAGGAAGTCTTCATATATTAATTTTATCAACACTTCATTATACTTGTGGCACATATTTTCTCTTGAACTATTTTTCTTTTCTATTTTGAGTTTTGTCTTGCTATTACTGTTAGTATTCATATTGTGAAACACATCAACCATTTATGTATGGCTTCTTGGGTTTCCTCTCTTAATAAAACCTTGCCTACCTTTAATTTACAAGGCTCTTTCCCCAAAGTTTCTCCTGTCAACGGTTTTATTTTTACAGTTACATTTTTTTTCCCTGTGAGATTTATTTCTCTTTAAGCTGTAAGTTAACAGTTTTAATTTTCTTCCAGATATTGAATCAGTTAGGACAACACCACTTAAACCACTTTGTAATGAACTGAAATACTAATTTTAAGTGAATAGGCATAGATATCTATTTGAGTCTGTTTTTCATAGAGACCATTCTTTATTTTGAGCCCACTGGGTAATGCTGTGATTGGTATGTTTGGTAAGATAAAAATCTCACAAAACTTTCCTTGCATTCTCATACTTTATACCTCCACTGGTCTTTAAAATAGTTTGATCCAGTCTGGCAAAGAAACAAACAACCAGCCACAGGATTCTGATTACACTCACCTAAATTTTATATCCTAATTTGGGAGACAGTAATACTGTGATGATACTAAGCTTTTCAACAGAGGGCCATGCCATGCCTTTTCATTCATTATGAATTACTTTATGTCTTTGTGATAAAATAATTTTCAGAAGACAGAGCTTGTCATTTTTTGTTACATTTATTCCTTCTGCTTTAAATTTTCTTACTACTCAGAAATTAGCAGCCTAGCAAGACTTTAAGATCACACCTGAATAAGAAAGCAAGACATAACCCCACTATAACAAGGTAGGATCCTGAGGATGGGGAGTGGTATTAATACCCTTTGTGGTCCCTTTTTCCATTTCCCGTTAAACGTAATCAGAAAACAATCTCAAGAGTAAGCTTTGGAAAGCAAGCTAATCAAGGAGTACAGCCTAAAGCTCAACCCAATCCCCTGCTTCCTATTTTCACAAACTAGACTCTCCATTCAATCTATCAACTCTCCCTTGAGTACCTACTTAGCTACACACTTCCTGACCAGATGGCACACTTTTGACTGATAGCATCATTGATCCTTTCGGTCAGTGGGATGACGGTTTAGGTGGTTTCCCACTCTTACCTAAATCAGTTTCCACTCATAAAACAGAATCAGTTTCCTCTAGAGCCCTTCTTCTTTTTGAATAGAGTTACTATTCTTAATTGCTCCCATTTTAGGCTCTTGCTCTGCTGAGATGTTTCTGGAGTCAGGTAAGTTGCTAATTCAGCAGCAACAAATCACATAACCCAAACACAGCAGGCTTGTTTAGTTAATATGAAAAACAACTGATATATTTTCTAGCACACATTTAGAAGAAGCAGTAAATGAAACAATCTTGATCGGCCAGCTTTCTTTGATTATTTACTACTTTTTTATTTACAAGAAACATGACTTTAATAAAGTGACATTTTAAATCTAAGGTTCACATTTTATTTACTTGTGTTTTTTTTGGCAAAGTAATGTTGGAGGCAGAATCGTTCAGAATTTCATTTGTTTGAGAGGAAAAGTTTTAGACTGCATCCTTCCAGATCCATCTCAGAAAACACTGGAAAAAACGATTTGCCTTGACCTTGATGTGATATTCAATTACTGTCATGCATAATAACTTTTAACTTCCTGGACATATTTTAACTTTTTATTAGATTTTATATTTTCTAAGACTAATTATTTCACTTTGTACATTTAATAGCATTAAATGTCAGACCGATCAATGAATCTGCTGAAACTTCACCCACAGGAAATTTTTATTGTAAAGTTGTTTTTTTTTTTTTTCCCCAATAAAATATATTTTCAAGAAAGGCTGCCTAAAACACGCGAGTCAAAAGGAATTTTAATCCCATTATAGTATTATTTATATAATAATACCAATACTCTGCTAGAAAATTATGAGTTTCTTTCAATATAATCTTTAAAGTTCATCTAGAAAAACAATTAAAATATCCGGAAACACATGTCACAGAAGTGGAATGTTTCTACCTGTTCTTTGACTGAGGCGAGGATGGCAGAGGTGGTTTCTGTTTCAGATCCATCCCCGTTGGAGGTGTTTAAGCCGGGGCTCAGGGAACTTGTCTTCTCTGAGGCTGATGAAGGCTGGTCTGGGACAGGCATAGCTCCTGCAAGGCAAGAGGACACGAACAATACAATCAGATATTGACACTAAACAGGCACAACTATCAGATCGCTTTAAGGATACACACTAAAAAAAAAGTCAAACTATGAGCTGCTGAGAAAGAACATAACATAATTATGGAAGGGGAGTAATAACACGTAAAGCAAAGTAACAGTCAAGAAATAGATTGTTTTATCCTTTTATCAACCCCAACCAAATTCCACTTCACATTCACACCTTGTGCTTTGTCTTTGAGATAAATGGAGAAATGATGAGAAATTAAAGGAAAGAGTATAAGAGTAAAGCAATAAAGAAGTAATGAGTCTAAGAAGTGAGTCCAGCTACAAATTTATGACTATTTTAGGCAAATGTATTACCTGCCTATTGGTACATGTGTCGTTATTACATGTTTCCTCCTTGGTTCCTGGCTCGTATCTCTTACAGACCCTATTATAGTCTTGTGATGGTGTTGGGTGTGTCTGGCCTCAGAAAAGCAATATCTGAATCTCAGGCCTCTGAAAACAATCCATCTGGCCTTCCTCTGACCTCCTTTTACCTGCTTCAAGGCAGGACTCTAATCTTCCCTACCTCCTTTCTGATTGTGGGTCATAAGACCCTCATTCCACAGACAGTCCAGCCCCCACGCCCTGGGGAAAAGAATGCTGATGTCAGGAAGCCTCCTTAAAACCCCAGAGGCCTGGGTTTGTAGAGCTTCTGGAGAGCTGACCACGTGGAGGCTCCTGGAGAGGGTGGCACATCCGGAGGGCTTGGAAGCTCTGTGTCCATTCCCCCTAACTCGCCCTACACATATCTTCATCTGTATCCTTTGTGATATCCTCTGAAATAAACTTGTAAACCTAAGTGCATCCTGAGTTCTCTGAGCTGCCCTAGCAAATTAATAGAATCCAACCCAGGAACTATGGGGACCCCGGCTTGAACCCTGTTGGTCAGAAGTTCTGAGGCCTGGACTTGCAGTTGGTGTCCGGGGGGATGGGACAGTCTTGGGGACTGAGCCCTCAACCTGTAGGCTCTGACACTATCTGAGAGTAGACAGTGTAGTAGAGAGTGCCAGAATTGAATTAGAGGACACCCAGCTGTGTCTGCTGCTTGGTGTGTGAGGGGGAAAAACCCACACATTTGGTCACAGAAGTCTTCTTCTGTGTTAATGATTGCTGTTGTGTGAGAGTAGAAGAAAAAAAGTTTGAGAGGGTTTTTCCTAAAACAGTATATTTCCAACTCAAAAGAAAATCTATCAGACATTCCCCTTTGTAAGAAAATCATACAGAAGCCATGATTAATAATTTACCAATAATTAAAGAGATACCTGAATTAACATAAGAAGCTTAGTTGGTATTATGAAGCACAGTCAATAACTAATCTACTCCACAAATATTTACTGAGTTCCTAGTCTGTGACAGACAGCAGAAAAAACTGGCAAGGCCATTTGCCACAGTTGATTTTGTCTGAGTTCATTTATGAAAGAAGGCAGAAATTCAAACAACATTAGACCCAATGCATAAGTGGATGCATATGTACAGGTTAAAAACAAGATTCTCAGAATTGTTCCTATCTTTCCTGCACAAATAAATGAGATTGCTGTGTTCTGAATGTTGATGTCTCCCAAATTCATATGCTGAGATACTAATACCCAAGGTGATGGTAGCAGGAGGCGGGACCTTTAAGAGGGGATGAGATCAAGAGGATGGGGCCCCCATAAATAGGGTGAGACCTTATAAAAGAGGCCTGAGAGAAACTTCTCAATCCTCCCAGTATGTGAGGGCACAGCAATAAGGCATCATCTATAAACCAGAAAGTCAGCCCTCACCAGACACTAAATCTGCCAGGACTTCATCTTGGGCTTCCCAGCTCCAGAATTGCAAGAAATAAATTTCTGCTGTTTACAAGGACCCAATTTATGGTATTTTGTTATAGTAGCTCAAATGAACTAAAAAGGAGTCTGAAGTATTTGTTATATATATCATCTAGCAATGATCAACAGAGAAAGCAATAGTTAACTGAGGGTGACATTTACCAAGGCATCACAAAACCCGCATCTCAATAAATGACTCAGAGTAAATAAAAATTATTTTCTTGCCTAAAGCTATTATATCACATATCCCTCCAGGAACCAGGGTTGTGTAAATGTTAAAAGATACTTTCTATTATGCCATATCTAAGCATCCTGGGTTTTACATTAAGAGATGTTTATTTCCACAGGTGCCTTTGCCCTATGTTTTTAGCTATGTCTAGTTAATAATTTAGAGATAGGCAAACCTAAAAAGGCCCCATTATAGAATTTTACTTAAAATATATGACAAAAAAAGCAGTCATCCAAATTTCTTGTTGAACATTCCATCTAATTTTTGAATTGAATTTTATGAGGTAATTATAGTAATATCACCAATGGGGATTGGAGTAGCACTGGAAAAGTAAATCTGTTACAAACAGAATATCTGAGAAGTTTTGGGGAAATAATATCAACGAAGTAGAATTTGAGAAAAGAGTAAGGGTCAGATTAAATATGATTTGGCAAAATGCAACCATAGCTAAAAAGTTTAAAGTACTGAAGGTGATGAATACCAACAGTATGAAAGAAAGACACTTGCATATGTATTCGACATGCTTTATTATATGGTTTTCTTATTTGATCAAGTCTCTTCATCACTTAGAATGTAAACAAGCAGTTCAACAAATGTGTCCAGGTCAAAGAGTGGAATCTATGAACTTCCATCTAGGAAAGGATTGAGGGATGTGAGAAGAGAGCAGAAAGTGAGAAGGAAGGACAATGCAGCTCTTGTGTGCAGTCACCTCTGATCTCCCAGAGAGCCACCGTGACCTTGTATCACCACTTCTACCAATGTCCATGGGTTCACAGGGGACTCTACGCAAGATGATATGGTTTGGCTATGCACTGCTCCCCCAATCTCATCTTGAATTGTAGCTCCCATAATCCCCACCTGTAGTGAGAGGAACCAGGTGGGAGGTAATTAAATCATGGGGGCAGATTTTGCCTGTGCTGTTCTCATGATAGTGAATAACTCTCATGAGACTTGATGGTCTTAGGAAGGGCAGTTCCCCTGCACATGCTCTCTTGCCTGCAACCATGTAAGACATGCCTTTGTTCCTCCTTCACCTTCTGCTATGATCACTAGGCTTCCCCAGCCACACAGAACTGTGAGTCCATTAAACCTCTTTTTCTCTATAAATTACTCAGTTTTGAGTATGTCTTTATGAGCAGCATGAGAATGGACTCATACACAAGGAGCACCTCATGCTAAGAAAAGGGGAGTCTTACCTATTTTAAATTACTATTTGTTGTTTTCTTTAAATTTTATTGGGCCCACGTTAATTTAGGCTCTGAGTCAGTATTATTATCAACCTACTTTTGACAGAGAAATTGTTTAAAGGTCCAAAGTTATTAAGTCACATAAGTGGGCCCAGAACTCAGGCTTTCTGCCTTTTAATTCCTATTTCAAATGTCCTTTGATGTGTCAGCCTATTTCCCATAACCTGTACTGCCTCCCAAATGCTACTCTACAAACTAATTTTTATAAAATGAAACTCTTTAAAAGTATAACAGTGACCTGTCATAAAAAATATGGGATTTAATAGGCACTGAATCAAAGTTTCTCCCTGGGCACTTGACAAGTGTGACCCACACAGTATGGTGAATAATTAGGCCTGTTTATCTACCTCCTTTCTCCTTATAGCAATAACAGAAAGAGAAGTGGAATCTTCAAGGCTTATTCCACCATACAGAGCTACTGCTACCTACGGCAATCTCCATTCCTGAATACAAATGACTTTGAATAATTTCCATGATTAATGGTTTTTTAAATCAAAATTTAAAAAGTGGTCCTCGCTATATCTGGAAGAAAAGACAGTCACCCTCCAATCACAGTCTTCTCATATCAGGGCACACAGAAGAGAGAGAGGAAACTTGCAAGAAACCTGCCCCAATCAATCCCGGATGGCCTTAGGGTAAGTATAAGCAGTGTTAAGCTTCTAACTTTGCAGTTATATGCCCAAATACTTTAGTCTTAATCACGGCCAATATACTAAAAAACAGTATCTAATCTGTGCTAAATCCAGTAAATCTGGAAAGTACAGAGAAATAAAAAGCAAAAAGCAAGAACAAAGGAAGAGCAACCACCAGCAATTTTGCCATCCCAGATAAGTAAAATTACTTTGACAGGGATTTTGGTGATGTATTATTTCTGATATAACTTATTCTGTACAATGATTTTTACATAATGAGGTACTAATGCAAGGTTTTTTTATTTGTATATTTTGCTCAGCAACATCTCATGAACAATTTCTTATATCAACAAACATTTATCTACAGTTTAATTATAATGAATACTTAGTATTCAATAGTCTATTTATGTTGAAAGTTATCTACCTGTTTTTTATATGTGATTTTTACTCCATTTTACATCTATGACATGTTCAATAGATGGGTTCTGAGCAGTAAAACTGATAAAACAAGGAATCTATGTATTTTTCAGCCTTTTGTTAGCCGACAGGCTGGTCTAGCCTACCCGTGCACTGCAAAGGTCATGAGAATGTCACCTCACCACAACGTGAACCACACTGATTTCCATTACCCTCTCAGGCTTTTGCCAAGCTGATATAGAAAAATGCACCTCTTTGACTTTGTTTTTATTCAACTATGAATACAGTGCACATTTCCCACAGGTTTAGTCATCCTGCACAGCACTTCTTGCCACCCTTGAAATGGTTACAGTGTAAGAAGTCTTTCTATACATGGTAGAATTATAATCTGCAAATACCCAAGCTGCATTTTAGACAGACCCATCTTCCACATGAGAAAAAGAGACAGCAGTGAGGGAAGAACAGCCCTAAATTTCAGGTGGGTTCTTCTAGCAGAATTTGGTACCAACAAGTCCTATGTCCAGAAAACGATAAAATAATAATACTAGCAGTTTCAGGGTGCAAGTCACATTGCTGTATGCCCATACATGCATGAACAGTGTTACAGAC